AGAATGGAGGAGAGGGGATTGCGGAGTGACCATCCCCCCTGGGGGGTGATTTCTCGCTTTCTGTCTCTAATGTCTCTCTCTGTCTGTCTGGCGAGCGCACACGCCCTATAGCGAAAATCTCTCCAAAAAAAAAAAAAAAGAGAATGGTAAGGAAAGCGGGATTATCAGAGTTAAAGTGGAGGAGAGGAAAAATGGAAAATAAGGCTCAATAAGGTCATTCAGAAACATCATGAGAATTGAATTATAGATAAACTGTGTATTAGTAGAATCAGCTGCTGAGTATAGCCAGCATATTTACCGTTTTGAAGGTGGTATACTCTTGAACAGGGCTAAGTGCACCTTAAATATTTTAGAGAGCTGGAAGTATTCTCCTTTTTCTGAAACAATGATGTTAGGGGAGATTAGATTGCGAGACCATCCACAGACATCTCAAAGTTCTGATTTATTTCTCCAAGGTGCACATATTGGGGAAAGAAAGAGAGTGATTCATGGTACAGGGAGTGGGAGGATTGGATTGGCCATTATGATAAACTCATTAGTTTACTTTTTTCCCCCCTAAGATTATTTATTTCTTTCAAGAGACACAGAGAGATAGCACCCCAACAGGGTCTTGATCCCACAGTTCATCTCCAGCTTCAGACAACCCCAGATCATGCCTGATGTATTCAGGGAGGTCTCTGGATATGAACCTGGAAATTTCCCATATGGGTCAGCCTTGCATTACATTTTATGTCTGCACCACTGTCTGGTTCTCAACTGAAAAATTGATTAGTTGAACATTAGGATCTTGGGCACATGCATGCACCTGGCACATTTCAGGTCAGCCAGGCCAGGGATTTGAACCAAGGTCAGCCGTGTGACTTCCAAGACTGCAGTCCAGTATGCTAAGGAGTATACCACCAGGTTGGGCCACAGCTCATTAGTTGTTAATGGCCATTCCTTCACTGGACATTTTCAGCATCTCCTAAACTATAGTCATTTAGGCACCATCTTCAACAACTTTTGTCATTTACCTTTCTCAAAAATTTACTTTAGACTTAAACCTATTAAAAAAAAACTTTATATAGCTGTTTATCTCAGGTTTCATATGGTAGTGATAGCTTTTCTTAACATACATTGAGATTAGTGCATAAAACAAGCATACAGCCTATCTGTATTTGACCTACCTAAAAATGATCTTGGGAAATCCTCCTTTCATTATTTTCATTAATTTTAACTCTTCTCTTTATAGAGTTGATAGACAGAGTACCTAGGGTAGAATGTCAAACAAGAAATTCAAAGACTGGAAATAGGGGATTTTTGTTGGAATTTTCTAGACAGCTTTAAAATGATGGATGAGATTTAGGTCTCCCATTTGGTAATAATTCTAAAGCAAGTTTGAATTTGATTTTAGTTCAAGTTTAGTTTCCTTTCCTTTTCTTTTTAAGCTATTAAATACCTTTTAGGCTACAAATGTTTATAAGGTTTATGAGTGTTTTTTCATTAATTTTCTAGCAATTTTTTTTCCTGGAATTTAAAACTCTCTTCAGCTTAAATTAAGAGTGAATAAGGTTTACCTTGATCATGTTAGTGCTAGGTCTACTCTGCCTCATTCATAAGCCCATGAGTTTTGTTCCATGTAGCCAGCATCTCTGTGCTATCTTTATACACCAGATTCAGTGCTAAGATTTGTGAGGTACAGAGGAAGCTAAGGTTCCCACCAGCTGTGAGTCATGTAAACAGCCAAAACAGTTCAACATGACATAGATATGTACCAGGTACAGGAGAAATGGACTCTTTGGGTAGATCAACAAAGGCCTTAAAGGTGAGGGCAGGGGGTGTTGGAACATTGAGAGGGACATAGGTAAGCAATACATAGTGTGTGGTACTGTGAATGCTGGAGTCCTCTGTCCTTAGGCAGTCTTTGTAGATGATGATTCTGTAGAATTTCTGTGGGTTCTGCATTGGCCCACATGATATTTCATCAGGAATTGATATTTTAAGTATGCAGTAACTCATATTTGTACTGTTCTGACACTTTTTCATGAATTTGAAGCAATAACCAGGGAACCTTCAATAACAGTAGGCACATAGACATGGCATCATTCCCAAAACAACACCTTAATGGGGTTCTATGCTTCAGGATCAGCTCTCCTTGTTTAAATACTCTCAGGCACGTCCTATATAACTGGAAGCCATGTGATTGGAATGGCTAAGATCATCGTGTGAATTTTGTCAGGTTAGGCTTGTAGACCCCACAGTGTGAAGGACTCTCTGGAGCAGTCCTAGTTACCTCAGTGACTGCGCCATGGCAGGAAGGTGGTATGCATGGGAGAGAAAAAGAGAATACAGCAAGCCAGCCTGAGCTACCTTTGGGGAATGTTTGTTCAAAATCTGAGATGGAAAAATTCTAGTCTCCACATATCCTCTTACCCTTATCCCATAGCCTGAGCCAGGCCCATAACTTGAACTGCCACACATTCCAAAACTAGTAGTCGAGAGATCTTCAGTTTCGTGCACGTGGGGACAATTAAAGGAGAAACTTCCAACCTATTCTCACTTTAAGTGCCTAAAATCCCGCAGTGCTAACTGCATTGAGGACAACATCCAACATCCAACATTGGGAGAGTTAATGTGTGTGTGTGTGTGTGTGTGTGTGTGTATGTGTCTGTGTGTATTTATATTTTTGTAATTGAAAAAAAATCATTAGCAGTATTGTTCTCTGAAGGGAAGAATGAACCCCTGGAGGGACTCGGCCTTACTTCAGACCCAGGCACTTCTCTGTGTTGCCAGAAACCACACCTCTCCTCAGGCATAACCACAGAAGACTATTTCTTTTGGCAGAATCTCTGACCTTGAAGGATCCAGCCAGCCGCCTTGAAGCTTTGGGTGCTAGACATAATACAGGCAGAGTCCAAGAGTTATTTCTATTTTATGTTTCATTTAAGCATGGCTGTATTAAAATTTTTTATTCATCAGAAATTCCGCACTTGAAAGAAAGGTAAAATGGTTCACAAAATCACTGCTACTAAGGTTCATATGTACGTGAGGTCTTCAGTAAGTTCGTGGAAAATGTGTATTATGTAAAAACTATGCGTAGATTTCAATTTTCTGGGTTTTTTTTTTTCACCAAAATAAAGTCACCTTTAAATTCAAATTTATCATAAACTTTTTGAAGTCCTCTTGTGTATAGCCTGAAGCACATTTGAAAATATGAAGAACACTAGAATAAGGTCACATCCATGTGTCATGCCATATTGCCTTTCTCATGGGAACTCAGCAAATTGAGAGATTGATCTTCTCTGTGCATCAGAATCTTAGTTTTCTTTCTCCTGAATGTAACAAGGCTGTTTTTCCTTGGAAAAATAGTTTGTGTTCAGCTTGGGAGGTTGATTTTTCAGCCATCGGTTTTTCCTTTTAATAATTGAAAACCACTGTTCATTATTTACATAAAACTGTCTTTTTCTGGTCTGCTTTCTATAACCTTTCCCCTCTTAAGAATTTTAGGAATTCTCTGGCTTTCCTCTAGGGGATTTTATGCCTGCCTTATCCCAGATGTGGGACATAGATGAGGCTGAGGGTTTTTTTCTTTTTTCCCTTTTTTCTGTGTTCCTACATTTGAAAGACATTCTTTAACCGGTGTGCAAATCTGCCACTGAAAAGGAGCTTTTAAGAAAGTCAAGTAGTTAAGAAAATGTGAGCTTGGCTTTCATTTCTGACTGACTGAATGACACCAAAAGCCCATATGCAAAATGGAAAAATAAACAGTACTTTCGAATAAGGAGAGGAACAGGCATACATGTTAGTTCAACCTTTGAATTCTGAGATTTTATTTTCTGAATGGAGCCATGTCAGTTTCCATTCCCAGTGTCCCAGTATCTGGTCTTCTCTTCATGCTTGCTGATGTCAGCTCAGGGGGCGGGGCTTGGCAGATGTTTACTGCCCTCACTTTCTCTACTTCTGTTCACACAAAGAGGATATTTAGATTTACTTATACTATTTTGTCTGCTTACATTTTTATAAATGTGTATTCCTAATCCCTGGTTCAGAATGTAAAATGTTAGGAAGAAGGGAGAAGTCTGAGTGAAGGACACTATTAAGAAATCTTTCTTTCTTTTTTTTTTGTAATGTCTACTCAGATTCCCAGACGACAATTCACCACCAGCTTTTGGTTATTGTGGTTTATACCTTAATGTTTTAAAAAATATCAGAAACCTAAAGCTTTTTACATGATAATATGTGAGAAGAATGCCAAGGAGAGTTTTCTTCCCTACTTGAACAAATATTACACTTTCCTAGGCCGGCCAGTGGTGTGGTGGTTAAGGTAGCTGGATCCCACATGGTCAATTGCACTGTTTGAGTCTTAGACCTGGCAGCTTGAAAACATGACAGGCATGTGTGTGTGTGGCCAAAATCCTAAAAGGAGAATGGAGGGGAAGGGATTGTAGGGGGGCCATCCCCCTGGGGGATGCTTTCTCACTTTCCCTCTCTCTCCCTCTTTGTCTCTCTCTAGCAAACTCATGCCCCCTGTAGCAAATTTTGAAAATAAATGTTTCCGTAAGTCCAAAGTACTGTTTATTGTTTGTTTGTTTTTGTTTTTATGAGAGGTTTTCTGCTATAGGGCGCGTGCGCTCTCCAGAAAGACAGAGAGAGACAGAGAGATAGAAAGCAAGAAAGCATCCCCCAGGCAGATGGCCACACCGCAATCCCTTCTCCTCCATTCTCCTCTCGGGATCTTGGGCACACACGCACATGCGCTTGGCGTGAGTTTAAGCCGCCGGGTCCGGGACACGAACCGCGGTTGACTACGTGGGAGTCCAGCGACATAGCCATTACGCTAACTGCTGGTCCCCAAAGTACTGTTTTTCATAATGATCACAGTGAAGATGTATTATGTCATATATATGCTTTACTTTTTAGTTTTTAGTCTTTTTCCCAGTATAAAAGTCCCTACCTACCCTGTTTCCAGCTATGCCATGCTCCTGTAGCTGACATGCTTTTCTTCTTTTGACCTCCTGTAGGATCTTTCGAAGATGGTTTGGCTGCCCTGGAGATTTGGAGATCTGATGCCACGATGAGGACTCACACACGGGGGGCTCCCAGTGTGTTTTTCATATATTTGCTTTGCTTTGTGTCAGCCTACATCAGTGACGAGAACCCTGAAGTCATGCTTCCCTTCACCAATGCCAACTACGACAGCCACCCAATGCTGTACTTCTCCAGGGAAGAGGTGGCCGAGCTCCAGCTCAGGGCCACCAGCTCGCACGAGCACATCGCAGCCCGGATCACTGAGGCCGTGCACACCATGCTGTCCAGCCCCTTGGAGTACCTCCCTCCCTGGGATCCCAAGGACTACAGTGCCCGCTGGAATGAAATTTATGGGAACAACTTGGGTGCCTTGGCAATGTTCTGTGTGCTGTATCCAGAGAACATTGAAGCCCGAGACATGGCCAAAGACTACATGGAGAGGATGGCAGCGCAGCCTAGTTGGTAGATTTTTGTCTTTTTCTTCTTACTGTATTCACTCTGCAATAGAAAGAAACCCATATTCAGATGAAATCTTACAGATTTTCACATACTTCTTTGGGTATGTGGGGGTGGGGTGGAAGGCCATTGTTACCTGTTTATTACCAGTAGCTTATGACTGGCACATAGTTTTTTTTTTTTTTGTCTTTTAATATTATTTATTTATTTTTTTTCTTTTTAAAATATTAATACGCTATACATCATTACAGTATACAAAATGAATTTTCCATCCAAAATACACTGTCTGTAGGCTCTATCATGCACATCAACATACGTGTTATCGACAAACTATTTTCCATTTCTTATGTCTTGTATGTTTTGCTTTTTTTTTCTCTTTTTTTTTTTTTT